CCCCCCGATTTCCTGGCGCTGGAGCTGCTGGACGGGCACCTGTACCTGCTGCTGGGCATGGGCGCGGCGGGGCTGCGGCTCCGCGCCAGCGCCCGCAAGGTCACGGACGGGGAGTGGTGCCACGTGGACGTGCAGCGCGACGGCCGCAAGGGTGAGGGGCCGGGGGGGCCGGGGGGGGCCGGGGGTGGGAGTGGGGGGGACTCGGAGGGGAGCGAGGGGCCGGGGTGGGCGTACGAGGACAGAGGGGTGCCCAGGGAGGTGCCCAGGGAGGTGCCCGGGGAGGTGCCCAGGGAGGTGCCCAGGGAGGTGCCCGGGGAGGTGCCCAGGGAGGTGCCCAGGGGGGGTCTGCGCGGGTGTGAGGGGGGTGGGTGCACTGAGGGGTCACAGCTCTGGGGGGGGGGGCGGGGGGGGTGGGGGGGGGGCCGTGCAGGTGCAGCTCCTGTACAGGTGTGCAGGGGGTTGTGCGGGTGCGAGGTGTCCCCTTTATGCCTCCCTTTGTCGTGCATCTGGTGCACCCCAATATCCCCCAATATCCCCCAATATCCCCCACCACCCCCCCCCGTCCCTGGCCAGCGGGGACCGCGACGTGCTGGACGTGGGCGCGGAGCTGTACCTGGGGGGGCTCCCCGAGGGCCGGCCCGGCCCCCCCGCGCCCCCCGAGCTCTGGGCCGCGGGGCTGCGCCTCGGCTTCGTGGGCTGCGTGCGGGACCTGTTCGTGGACGGGCGGAGCCGCGACGTGCGGGCGCTGCTGGGGCCCGGGGGGGCCCCGGGGGTCTCCCCGCTCTGCGCCCGCGACCCCCCCCGGCTGTGCGCGAGCGGCCCCTGTCGCAACGGGGGGACCTGTCGCGAGGGCTGGAACCGCTTCGTGTGCGACTGTCGCGGCACCGGGTACCTGGGGCCGCGCTGCGAGACAGGTGAGGGGGGGACGCGCGGAGGGGCTCGGGGGTCCCGCGGGACGGACGGGTCACCCCCGCGGGGTCTGGGACCCCCCGAACACTCCCGGGTGGGGTCACACCCGGGGAGGGGGGCCCTGTTTGCCTGTGGGTACCCCGGGGAGATGAGGGAGCCCCCGCACACCCGGGTCCCCCCAACACCTGGAGATGGGGGTCCCCAGACCGAGGGGTCCCCAGACCCAGGTCCCCACGGGGGGTGGTCCCTGGGTGTCCAGTGCCGGGGTCCCCCCTCTTTGCCCCCCCTGAGGCCGCGGTGCTGAGCTGTGATGGCAGCACGGGGGGGCTCCCCTGGGTCACCTGGAGAGGGGGGGTCCCTGTGCCGGGGGTCCCTGTGCC